CTGTGGGACGGATGACCCGTGCACAGGTCCCTCGGCTGATTCATGAGGCACCATGTCTGCTGCGAGATTTCTGTTGCAAAAACCCCCAAGAAATAACGGGATATTCTTTCCTTACAACCTGTCCTCGAGCAGCCTCTGGCTGCTACTGCTCAGCGGGAAAGATAACGTCAAAGTTTGTCAGTAGCCTTCGTAGTGCCCGCTCCAAAGAAAATCTCACTGTTTTGTCCTTCAAAAAATAGAAAATATTTTAAAAATCCCCTCTCTCTTTAGGGCTTCTGTAAACTTTCCAGGCAGAGTGAAAGCAAGAACAAACCAAATATTGTTTCCAGCCACCCAGACTATTTTGCCTCCATGAATATGCTTCTTTGTACGGTCCCACAAACGTTATGGCTGCATGAAATCCATTTTTTTTTTTAAAGCGAGAAGTCCCGCCCTTGCACTGTGGTTCCTTCCCGGAGGCAAGTCCATCTTCGTGCCCTTTCAAAGGTCTGGGCTGGAGACAATTTTTCCGCACAAGCTCGCAAAGGGGAGCACGCAAGTTTCTTTGCGGCCGGTCCCCAACCCCCCCCAGGGGGTCGGAGTGGGGGGCGAGCACGCTGCCTCCCCCAAGCCCACCGGGTTTGCGGGGGTCCAGCGCGTTACCCGAGCTGTTTCTGGGGAACTGCCTTAATTTTTCCTCCCCTCGGGAGACTTTTCTAAATATAATCCCCAGGCGTGGCAGAGGAAAGGAGAGGAAAAGCAGGGGTGATGCCAGGATACCTGCTCCCGTGTGATGGGGAGAATCGCTGCCCTCTCCTTTGACTTCTCCTGCGAAGGCCAAGGGACTTTTCCCAGCCGGTCCTGCCTCAAGCTGGCAGGGCTGGTACCTGGAAAAGGGGCTCCAGAAGAAGGGAGGTTCATCCCGGCCCCGGGATGCTCTGCAGAGCCCCGAGAGCTTCAGGCGCTGCCTTGGGGAGGGAAGGGCAGGAGCTGTGTTTACGGGCTAGGGAACCGAAAGCAGAAGCAATGACTTTCTCTGTGCGAGGAGGGGAGTGATAGGAGATAAGCGTTTGGATGTTGCCGAAGGGCAGGAGAAAAGCGCGGGTGAACAACACACCCTTAAAATTATTCTTGTACCGCCTGCCTTTACACACATTTTAAACCACAAACTGGCAGTGCAGAAGGGGAGCGAAGACTCCTGTGGCCCGGAATAGTTTGTGGCAATGGTAATAATTAAAAATTCAGTACTCAGAGGTCATGTTGCTTTGCTTATAGCCCTAATTCTTTCCATATCCCTACAGTCAGGATTCCAGTGCTGTCTTTTAAAATTTAATTTCCCAATTATATTACACGTTTCATTCTCTAAAGTCAAATACTCGTGTTTAGATGAGATTAGCACCCTCTGATATACTGTAAATGATTAAGTACTCACAGATCAGCAAGTCCCATAACGGTATAAGGAATAGAAATACTTTATCAGTTATGTAGAATAAACCAGTAAGGATCAAAATGATTTTTTATATTTGAGTTTTCCTACCCCTCTGTCGCGTTAAGGCCCATACAAAAAGTGTGTATGAGAGAAGATTGGGTAGCCCTGTCATGAGGTTATATAGGATCTTTTAACATTGCTTTAGATACGGATCCATACGTCCTATGTGGTTGTGATGTAAATCAAGATTACAACACCGAGAAGCTGAACTTCACCAGTATGACTCAACATAAACCACCCTTGTTAAAACAAGCCATTTTAAAAATGAAATCCTCCTCTTCCTCCTCCAGTCCCACCCCTCTCTTGCATTTTGAAAGCCATGACAAGAACAACAGTGTGGCCTGAAGGTGGTCCTAGGCTATTTTGTACCCCAGGGGTATGACAGTGATTTTGTTGCTCCTGGGAGCTCCTGTGGAACAGCCTGCTAGCAACCCCCTCTCAGTCACAACAGATAGAGATGAGGCGTTTTTCTGTACAAGGCACAGAATAAAGTTTATATACGTGCTGCCTTTGTTGAAGAGGATTTATAGAAGACATTGATCCCAATTTTGCTTTTTCTGTTGTGTAATGGGGGTAGTGTACACATCATCAACTGAGATCCCACAAAAGTAATAAATAAAATACTTCTCCCTCCCACAAGACAAGCAAATATGTTTTTCTGGAGAAGGAATGACATGAAAAGAAAATAGTAATAATAATAAAAAAAACCTGGGAAGAGAGAGGAATTGGAACTCTACCTCCTGCTTTTCAAACTTCTTGCTCACCACAACTTGGGAAGTCCTCAAAGATCAGTGTGGGGAAGCAGGAAAGAGAAGGCAGGTGCTGTCTAAACCTGAACAGCACCTTGTTCTTGCACAGCACTTCCATCCACACTTTAAAGATCGAGAAATGGAGGAACAGAGAGTTGAAGTGTCTTGCTCAGGAACACCAAGCCCACTCTGTCAGGGCTTGGATCTGTACCCATTTCCTGACTATTTGCCTAGATCATTAGTCAGTCCCACCTCTTCTACAAATAAGCCAGTCTTCGTCAGAATCTCTCTGTTGGCTCTGGACGCGTTCAAGACAGTAGAAGATGTCACCAAACGCAGAGGGGCCAGAGACTGACCTATCCCATGTGTTTAAGGTTCTAATTCTCCTGAATTTAACCATATTCCTACTTCTATGAACAGCCTCACTGATCTGAATGAGCTACCCAGGTACCATTTTGCACCACTGGTACTGAGCTGCCCAACTTAAAACTTTTAAGGGTCAATGGGAGATATTTCCTTTGTCTTCAGAAGACTTTGGGTCAGTTTTAAGAGACTTCTGTCATAATCCTGTTGAGTTTTTTAAGCACAGGACCTTGTTATTTCCCCAATGACATTGGTGTGAATGAAGTTTTACAGACAAAATACCAAAGACAAGGTCCTTGCCCAAAATAATGGCAGCTGATGATGACGGGTTGTAATGAAAGGCAGAGTTCAGCATCACACAGCTCACTTAACCCTCCACTGCTGAAACACTGGATATAAGTCCAGCCTGAGGAGTTCTTCCTGGTGGATAAAACACATGCTTATGTGAAGGGAACTTTGTCCAAGCACTTTGCCTGCAGGATTGTACTTAATGAGAAGGCTATCCCGACACAGTTGCAGACAGACTCACTCAATCCTGCTGGAATGTTAAATTATTTAGGCCTGGATCTTGGTTCCACTTAATTCAAAAGGAATTTTGCTACTAACTGGAGCGGCGGCTGGATCTAGCCTCACAACAAAAGGCAATGATACCATACTATAGGATGTCAAAGGGCCTTCATCTCTTCATTGTAAACAGAACACATCTCAGATCATTTCCCACATACAGGAACTCCAAAGAGAAATTAATGCTAAAGCTGGGCACAGACTGCATAATGTGTTTCTTTTCTTGAACTTTGAGTGAATTTGCTTTCGTGAGACTTGGATTTCATTTGTTTTCCACAGAGTTTCTATTCTTCCAGAATCTGGTCCAAAGCTACAAGAATTTAATAAGCAAAATTAAATCACCAACATTCCCTGAAACACTGAGCTAGGAGTGCGATTTTGGGGGATATCAACTGAATATGGAATCTTGACTATTCCTGGTTGGATTTGCTCTAGAAACCTGGTCCAGAGAACTGCACAAGTTCACCCAATCAGGGAATACAAGTAATGCCACATGACCCAGGAGTCATCCCACCAACCTTGCATTTCAAATACTAATACTCCTAACAAACTGCCTGCAAAATGAGCCATAGCTTAGGGATTATATACAGAAATCATTCAGTGAATCATTTCCAATAATGTGTATGTACATGAAAGTCACAATTGGCACATGGATCATTGACTAAGGTGGTGAGGGGGAGGAGACTAAATTCCTGTAATAAATTATTCATTACAAATTATCCACCCAGCTCTAGTTAACACCCTTCTGTGTTTCTTCAGCCTGGGAGAGAAGTGGCTTGTGTTTTAGATTTTCCCTAAGTGCTGTTGCATGCGGGGTTTGCCTTAAACGTGTAACCCAGATGTCCCAGGCTTGGTTTATTTACATTCTTGGGAACTGTTGTGGAAAAAAAACTGTATAATGTCAAATATAATATAGTACTCAATTGAGTTATAAAGGGACAAGGCTATGCCAACCCTTCTTTGGTATTTGGTTTAATCTTATGAAGAAGAAAGAGGCAGAAGTGGCCCATCAAAATACATTCCAAGATCCATATTTTTTGCTTAAAAAGAAGATATACAAACAGCTATTTAGAGTACAAGATCTAGCAGTATCTGGCATTAGCCATTATCAGTAAAACCAACTGAAGTCTGTTTGCCTACTAAATTGTATTGAAGCATTGCTCAAGGAAAACCATAAGTAACACTGTGAAAGAAATCCCGGTGTTATGTAGCATTTCCTGGTGTGACAATCCATTTCTGGTAACTGAAAGAGATGTTCTGGTTTAGTTCATTAAATATTTTTTCTCCTCTAAATCCATTTTGAAATGTACCTTTCAAAAAACATAACTTCACATATCATCTTGCATATTGAATTCAGTAGCTGGCACAGCAGAGAAGTAGAGGGATATTAAATGAAATTCAGCTCTGGTTCAAGACTAAATGGTATCTAGGAAATCAGAAAATTGGAAGCCAGTTTCAGAAAACCACTATGATATAACATTGGTAGTACACCACCACTATCATATTGGTTTCAGAGCAACAAACCACTACTATAATGTAATTCAGGACACCCTCATTATAATACTAGTTATAGTATAACCCGTCAAACCAAGCATCAATGCATTATAAAAGAAAAGACCACTTTAACATATTGTTGGTCCCTGATGATACAACTTTTGACTCAATGCTGCGTATTTCCAGAATGATAACTCTGATACTTGAGATTGTAACCCCTCTCCTACCAAAGGCAGAGGGATTTTTTTTATGCTAAATTCAGTGAGAACGGGAATGAGATTTTCAACTAATACAAATGATTGCGAATTTTGGAGGATTGTAATTTTTGACATTACCTGTTTAAAGATGCTGTCATGTCTTACCTTGACGTAAGACGAAGTGTCTGGTACAGTCTGAAACATCCTTACTTGTTTAATAGATATATTTAAAGGTCCTAAAATTGACCTGAAATTTGAAAAAAAAAAAATAAAAAATCAGGTCATATATAGTATGTAGAAGAGTGAAGAAACAAAGCATTGCTTGAAAAGTAAGATTAGTAATAACATTTAAAGAGAAGTGATCAAGCATTTAAGTGTACCGTTTAAAGGACACAGAAAAACGTCCACCACAGTAACTAAAAGTCAAGTAATAGAGAGGACTTCATAAAGCAGGGTTTTATTTCTATGCTTTAACAACGGTTTTGTTTTGCTTTGGATTCCTCCCCTCTCCTCAGGAAAAGAGCCTTCTTCACTTTTGACCAGAGCAGAGGGAAATGTTTGACATTTGATTAACTGAATTTCTTAGCCAACAATTAAAAACCAGCTGAAATACTCATGTTTTCATGTCGAGACTAGTTAACCCTATTGACTTGTATCCAAGGGTTTCACTTGGCTAAATGAAGGGCAGTTGCCTTTCGTGACTCATTGAAACCATTCCGAGCCATTAACCTGCCGGCCTCTATTGATTTAAAGAACCTTTCTCACCAATAATAATTAAACAATAAATTTAAAAAAAATTATAGCGAACGGAAGCATCATTCCAAATAGCAATTAAAAAACCCCAGGGTTGTCCATCTCAGCCCTTCTATTTGGGATAGTGCCGTTACCCAGTCAAACATAGCAGTGCTTTATCTCAGGCTTGCATCAACGCAGTACATCTGTTTTTCTGTACTTCTAAGACTTGATGATCTCCTGATGAACAGGTTTTTTTGCCTCCCCCCCCCCAAGTCATCACTACGGAGATGCAGAGATTAACAACGATAGTGAAAAATGTAATGGTGTGTGGGAAAATAAATCTGCAGTCACTAAACTATCCGACAACTGTTTTTTCCTACCCGCTCCTCTCAGGATTTTTAGTCCCCTTGGAAAGCACCAGAAAGCGATTAGCTTACTGTAATTAGTGCATCGTTAAGAAGCACGAGCCCTCCCCCTTAGTATGCAGCTCCTAAGTGCTGCTATTCTGACGGTCCCATTTTCGCGGAGTGGGAAGGGAAAAGTTAGAAATTTACCCAGTATTTACTGTAGAAAAATTCTACTACAGAATTAGAAAGAGGCATAAAGGAGTGCGCACGAGCGGTCAATACTCCTGGGTTTGGGTTTTGGGGTTTTTTTTTTTGCAAGCTCTTCAGGAAAAGCTGTGGGGTCCTAACTTTGCAGCTAGTTCAGTTTGCCCGCATCTAATACAACCCAGACACCGCTGGTTAATCACGAAATAGCCTTCGTTTGATTAATGAAGAAGCCCGCGCCGCGCTGGAGCTGCCTGTTCCCTCATCTCAGGAGCTGCCTCCCCCCCCCCCCGGGGAGAGCCCGTCCTCGCCCCCAGCAATGCCAAAGAGCCAGGGAAACACCTCCGTGTCCCCAAAGCCAGCTTTGAAACATCTGCTGATTTAAAAAAAAAAAAAAAAAGGGAGAGAGAAAGCAAAAAAAAAAAAAAATCCCACAGCCCAACAACTCTGGAAAATAAAAGTTCACTATCTGCATGTAACTCCCCCCCCCCTTTTATTGATTTTTAAAGCATTTATTACGCAGCCAGCTGGCACAGAAGGGCAACTGATTATAAAATCGACAATGTGTTTCTGATAAGTACAATTCTTTTTTCTGTCGTCCTCCCTCCTAACACATTCCAGTTTCTTTTGCTTCTGAACTTGCAACGGGGGGTGGGGGTAGACAGAGTTGAGGGACAAGGTAATTTTGCTTAGCCAGTAAATTTTCTAGGGTCAAGGATTCACATATCAGTTTCCCCTGCTCCCCTCTTTACCCCTGATTAGCGCTCCCCCCACCCCCGATTACCTCCCTCTTATAATTACGCATGTTCATATAAATAAATACATCTGCATATTTGGAGCCAGTCTTAAGAGGTCTGCTGTGGATTATTTATCAATCGTATTGCCCTGCCAGCATCAGCCGCAATATAAAAGGGCCTCTTAAACTGCTTTTAGATTCGCCTGTTGCTTATTCTTATTACTATTATTTAAATGACTCACCTTTTATACCCTTTCCCCTCAACCAGTGGCAGACCAGTTTGTAAAGATCCAGGTTGAGACCAAAAATAAGACTCCCCACCAGTTCTGGATTACTACCCTGCCGCTGCAGTTTTGCAAAGAGGAGAGATTAAACTTGTTAGATCCAAAGCAGCGCTGAAGTTAAAATTCCCAGCCCATCCAGACAGGCTGCATCAACCAGGCATTTCCTCAGGGGGCTTCTGTAATGCTCGCAGCTCCAGGACGTGCTTTCCTTTCCCTCTCTTCTATGCCCTCTACTTTTCATTTGATTTCCGCTTTCCCCCTTATCAATATTTCAGCTGCTCCCTCAGATTAATCATGGCTATGTGGCATCTTCGCCCAATGAGCCCGCCTGGCGCTACTCACCACTTTAAAGAACAACCAGAAAAAGAAAAAAAAAAAAAAAAAAAAGAGAGAGAGAAAATTCACAACTTTCTTTAAAAAAATATTGCTGAGGAGTCAAGCCGAAAAGGGACGCTGAGTGGAGCTCAAGTGCTACTTTAAATCCCCCTTTTAAATAAGGAAGTTTCAAATATCCGTTTTTAAATAATCGTTCCTTACTTTGAGCTTTTTTTCCTGACTCTTACCTTGAAAATAGTTAACCCATTTCCCCCTGAAGCAGAACCGAAAATATGACAGACGATGCTGCAGATGCACACGGCTGGAAAAGAGAGATGAAATCGTCTCGAAACTATTCTCTCTATTGGATCAAGAATTCAGCCTTTCTCTCTGCAAGCTGAAACCTCCAGATCCTTTTAGCTATTTAATAATACCCTATCAAATAGTAACACATTTACGGAGAGAAAGGAAACACATCTTCAGTTCAGGGACATATTTTTTTCCGAACGGGGTCATGTTTCTGCTGCGTATTGTCATCTCAGAACGGTTTACAGATAATATTTTGCACTAACCTGGGGAAGAAACTTCCAGGGATTTTAGGACGACATCAATTTTAAATGTAACCCTCAGAAGGGTTACCAAAACTATTTGGAAAATGTCCTTCCACTCTCTATTCTCTTTCTCTCCTTCCCGGCTTTGCCCCAAATTCCAACATATTGAAACATTTTTCTCCTTAATAAGAGGAACATATAAAGTGAAGGGGTGAAAGGGCAACTTGGGAGCCGTGCCTAGAGCTCCGCACACAATTTACTCTCTGGTAGACGAGGCGTTTAGCATTCCTCCCAATTTCCAAGGAAAACAGACTCAGACCTGTACCCAGTGACCAGGGACCTCGCCAGAGCCACTTTTTAATATAGAAATTCTTTGGATTCTTTGTTATTATTATAATTGTTGTTGTTGTTTGTGTTAAGAGAAACAGTTTCCTAGGCAAGGTAAAGCGACGGGGATTTTAGGGAGAAGATAACTTCCGATGGAAGGAAAAATCAAAGCGACAGGAGGGACTTGCGACGTGCGTAGGAGAGAAAGGGAATCGAAAAAAAACCTAATCAGCCTTGTCATTTTTAAATGGCTTTTTAAAAAACCCGCGTGCATTGGGGTTAAAAATGCCGTTTGCAAGCCTTAATCTCATTATTCTGTGGGGATGTGAACAACTCTTTCTGCACACTCACAACCGAGCTAGCTAGTGACCGAATCGGATCACATTTCAAAGTAATTTTTCATTCTTTTCTCACGTTTCCACGTGTGAATTACACAAAACACGTAGCTGAAGAGGAACCCCGAGGGCTTACTATTGTGTTAACAAACCCCTCTTCCTCTTTGCGTTGAGGGGCAGCTAACAGGCGTTAGCATCTCTCCCCCCCCCCCCCCCCCCCTTTTTCTCCGGCTTTCGTCTTTCTTTTTCTTTAGT